GCAGGGGGAGAGAAACGCGGAGGAAGACTTGTGAGTTAGGCCCCATTACTCGGCACTCACTCCCATCGGTGTGTGAATAGAACCATCATGGCGGCCAGAGACCCTCCCTCGTCTCCCCGTCTCTGCCTGTCTCTCTCTTTCGTCCTATTGTGGGTTTGTGTTGTGTGATCGGCCCGTCGGGCTGCCGCTGTCGGTGCTGCCCCGCCTGTCACTACTGTCGAGGAGGGTAGTAGAGTACCACCCTTAGAGGGGGAGGGGGGGCCTCCATCCTCCTCGGAGCGTACCAGAGGGAGTCAGGGCGCCGCCTGGCAGATGTCTCCGCCGCATGTATTTATGCAAAGCGAGGCAGTATCGCTCGCCGGAGGAAAAAGGGGGAATTATGCCGATCGTTGGCCGGTTACTTTACCCCCTCTCGCTCCACTCCGCCTTCCAGACAGCTTTATTGTTTTTATTGTCTAAACCTCCTCTCTATCGCTCTCTGTCCCTCCTAGTCTTTTCCAGGCCCAGGCCCTGTTGTTCTGTGTGTACATTTATTGTGCTCGCTTTGCATTATTGGGTTTCCGTAAAAATCATTTATTTAGAAAAAAGTACTGTCAAATATTTAAATATTTCAGACCTGTCGTCAGCATATCCAAGCACATCGACCAGAAAGTCGCTGATTGTACACCAACAAAACCTATGACGCCGTTTGCATCACAAAATATTTTTAATCATAGCTATTTGCTTTATTTTTTATGAACTCTTCAACTTTTTGTTTTCTAAAATTTAATATCCAAAAAGGCAAAAAGAAAAAATTAACATCCTACAAGAATGCTAAAATTTTAGCAAACAAATTATTGGCTAGGAGGTTTTGGTGACAAAATGAAAACCTTTTCTCTTTTTTTGCGAGTTTTATACACCTCTCTCGATTTTGCGGTTTCGTCTTCCTTGGTTAGCTCCAGAGATGGGGTGTGACTCACCTCCAGGGGGGACTTGTAGAGGCACAAGACGGAAGCCCTGGAATCACCTCAGCTCCGTGGAAATGAAAAGAGGGAGCCTTTCCCTGGGCCTAAGGGCGCCTAAAGGCTGTTCATGTTGTGGGTCCGGGACCAGGCCGGGGGCCCGGCTCGGCCGGGGTGAACGAACCGTATGGAGAAAACACCGTGTGGGATTCGGTCGGAACAGCCAGGGGGATGATGGAGGGAGAGGGAGGGTGGGAGAGCCAGGAGAGAGTAGGAAGAGGGCAGAGGGGAAGAGAGACAGAGATAGGGAGAGGGAGAGAGAGAGAATTCGATTCTGTCGGGCGAGGGTTGAGCGGATCAATATATATACCCCCTCCCTCGGCGCCACCCTCATAGGCACCCTTCTGCCTTGCCCTGCCCTGGCCTCTCCTATCCCTCCCGTCTTCACTCTCTCTCTCTCTCTCTCTCTCTCTCTCTCTCTCTCTCTCGCTCTCTCTCGCTCTCTCCTCCCTCCAATGTGTGTGTGTGTGTGTGTTTTGCTAGTCGCGTGCGTGTGGTCACTGGCGTGGGGAGGTTGGCCGGGCCGCCCCTGCGTGCCCGCACCGCGCCCACGTGGCTCGACGGACAGCCTCACGTGCAGCGGGGCGGTCCCCGCCAGTCCCCGTCTCCCCCCGGAAGGTAAACAACCCTGCGTGTTACGTAACAAACGAACGCCTCGAGCCGCATCCACGCAGCTCCCCCGGCTTTTGTCTGTCCCCTGCGCTAGTCCTGCGAGCCCTGCTAGCCCTGCTGCTGCAAACACTTAGCTCCGCAGCTCCGCTATTTCTGGGGTGCCGCAAGCGCCCTGCTGCGGCGCCGCGACGGACAAAAGGGCGGCTGCGAGTCCCCCCAGGGGCGTAACTCAGATTAAGTGGAGAATCGGCTCAGAATGAGACGTGCCCCCCCCCCCCCTCTATCTCTCTCTTCCGTGCCGTACCCCCGTCAAAATCCGCTTTTGCGTGGTCCGCGCTGATCCTAATTTATCCCATTCCATCCTATTCATTGTCTACAGTCATCGAGAGAAATCTCACCAAAAAGACAGGAAAATCAACGCGAAGCTCGAAAATGGAAATGTATTTTATAAACAACGGAAATGACAATAAAAAGATAGTGAGCACTTTTCCGGAAAAGAAAGTGTAGGCCAGGTTCCTTGTTATGGAAATAAAATGAGCTCTCTTCGGTCTATTTCTATTAGCCCATATCTTTTGTTATAAATAAGCCCTCTGCAAATGTCTGTGAAGAAAGTTTATCGTGAATTTGCTTTTCCCTCATTTCCCGTTTGTTTGTGACAGTGGTGTTCTGAAAGGCCTTGTGCTTCCGACAGGGTGCATCCCTCTCTGTGCTATCTGCCCCACTCTCGGCCCCTGCTGCTGGTGCACTCTGCGCCAGCCGGGGCCCCAGGCCGTCCCAGGCCCGAGACTTATGCAAACAGAAATAAATCTTAATCTCACGAAAAGCTTTTTGTCCCGCAATCACTTCCCGATGCGCTTATTTTGTCCTGTCGTAATCGAATCATCGAATTAAGTAGAGCGGGGGTGGTGGTGGTAGGCCCACTCAAAGAGACTAAAGCGCACCCCCCCCTGGGCCTGTTAATTTTAAAATGAAAAAAGGCAAAAAAATAAATAATTTGTGAACTGCACATTTTCAGTATAAGCCAGGCTTGTTTTTGTGCTCTGTCAAAATGTGGGACGAAACAAAAGTCTTTTTTGACCTGCCTGTGTTATTTTAGAGGGTCCTGGGCCGGTCGCTCCCAACTCCTGTCCAGCACGATGGTCTCCTTTCTATTTCGGAGCGGAGGCGAGGCAGGGATGAGCAGAGATGAGCGTGTGGAGCGCGGGTCTTTGTCCGACCGACTCTCTGACAACCCGGCTCCTATTTTCCTGCTCTCGAGCCAGAGTCACAAAAGTGCACAGTAGGACTCTTTGTTGCTTTACTGCACTGTCGTCCCAGAGGTATGAC